GAGCGGTGCTGGGTGCCGAGGAGAGACATTTTGGACCCGTCGCTCCTGACGGAATTCCATCGGGGGTATCCGACGCGCCCTGCTCCACGTCCTCCGGGTCGTCCCCAAGGCCGGAGTCGGCGCACGTCTGGAGCCGCGCGTCAAGGGGGGGGTACTGTCACGGTTTCGGCCGAGGCTGCCTCTCTCCCTTGTTCGGGCAGGTTTCGGCGTTCGTCGTCTCCGGAATTCTAGCTGCCACCGTTATATGTTCCATGTTTCCTGTTTGATTAGTTTTGTCTGTTAGCCACACCTGTCTTGTGTTAAGTCTCATTAAGCACCCTATTTAGTTTCCTTGTTGTTAGTGTTGTGTTGTGTGTAATTGTTTCGTGTCAGGTGTTTGTGCGTTACCCGTGTTTCGGTACGCCAGTTACTATTTGCTTCCTCCTCGGTTGAGGAGAGTTTTTGCGCCCTGTGTTTGTGCGCTCGTGTTTGACGCCTGTGTGCGTCTGTTTGGCCTCAGGCCGTTTTTGGATTATTTTGCTCACTAGTAAAGTCTTGTTGGACTGTACATCTGCTTCTGCGCTTGATTCCACACCACACCATTTAAACACCGTGACACATATGATATAATGACATTTCTGATGGTAAGGTTGAAGTGTCCGGTGCTGACCGGTAGAGAGAAGAGCCTTTGACACTAAGTGCCCTTGAACAAACCATCTGTTTTAACCATACCTAGAGGATCTTTATGTGAAAGGCAAAGACTCATTCACAGACACGTTTCCAGTCCATCTATATGCAGCTTGTGTGCTGTACAGCTGACAAACTGTGATTCACTGCTTCTGCTTTCAATAACAAAGTCTTGCCATGGTGTTGTCCTCTGTTTGTTTGTGGAGGTGGAGAATATACACACACACACACACACACACACATACACATACACAAGCACGCTCTATCAGCTTCTACCATGTGTTTTCAGAAAGGGTGACAAAAGAGGGAAAAGTTTGTGAGTTACACACACACAAGCACGCTCTATCAGCTTCTACAGTGTGTTTTCAGAAAGGCAGAAAAAAGATGGAAACATTTGTGAGTTTAATTCTGAACCCCAGGACACAGGTAGACTACGCAATCCATCACCGCGAGGTCTTCCATGGAAACAAAACAAGAAAACCTTTAGAAAAACAAAGACAAGAACAAATTAAACGCAAAAGACTTCAAAAGCTTCAGCAGGTGTTATATGGAGGAAGGAAGGAAAGTAATTGTGCCTGCTCTATCTACACTCATAGGAACCCAGTATGAATCCATTAGTCCCACCTTAATTCATGTTGGCCCTATCAAAAAGCAGCCAGGAGGGTGTGATAACGGAAGCACTACTGCACCTTATCCTATCAAACACTGTTCCTGGGTGACTGACTACAAGGAAACTGCATCAAACTGTCCTTATCGGAGAACAAACTCACTCTACAGGTAGGCTGGGCCTGCAGAGGAACAACTTGAAGGACCAAGCTTCCCTTGCCTTCCTGTCAATATTGTGAATGCAGAGTGGAAGTCAGCGGTTCTGCCATCGGGCTAAATAAAACTCACATACACTGTACACCCTGAAAAAGCAAATGCACTGTGTTCTGTGCAACTCAGTGGGTGAAGTGGGAGACAAGGGGTTGTTCTATATCATTAATATAGTCACAGTTAAAAGGTGTTGTTACGCATGCACACACTCACGCACACACACACACATACATACACACACACAAACAGAGCGAGACACAGTGTGCCAAAACAGGAGGCGTCTAATCCCTTAGTTTGGATTGAGCGGCTAATCTCCTGAAAGGTTGGAAAGGGAACGCATGCGTCTGGAAATCCTCACATAATTGCAGTCACAAAGCTAATGAGTCATTCAGCCCTGGAATAGCACCGGGCTAACACGACCGCTAGAAAGGCACAGTGGCTTTGGATATGTACTCAGTCTTGGATCAGCCATATCAAAGACACATTTAGGACTACAATTCAAGAGTCTCCTAGCTGGCCTATCTGAATGAGGTCATAATTAAATTGAGTTCACAGCATATAATGACATAATACCATGACTCCTATTCGTGTAGCGCTAAAGTACTTTGCCTGCTGGGGGAAATGTTAACTATTTGGTTGTAATATCATCACCTCTTGAAGAGCATAGTCAGAAACAATTGCGCACATTTAGCTCTATCAGAGTTATGCAGCAAGTAACTACATGCTTTTCATGATCAGTAAACATCAATTGATCATGTAATTTAACATGCAAAGTACTTTAGCGCTGCATTAATAGCAGTCATGGTATTATGTCATTATATGCTGTGAACTCAATTTAATGATCACCTCTTTCAGCTAGGCCAGCTAGGAGACTTTTGAATTGCAGTCCTGATTGTGTCTTTGTTATGGCTGGTCCAAGGCTGAGCGCATATCCAAAGCCACTGTGCCTTTCTGCCCTTAGCCTTCACATCACTTGAAAATGGCACGTAGTTGTCAATGGTTTTAGCAGAGCTGGGGGTCAAATTGATCGCCCCGCACCATATTGTGACATCTTATTGATAACAACCTATATCTTGTCTAAAGATAACTGTAACTACTGCTCCTGGCAGTGAAATAGTATTGCTTTGTTGATTTATGCCAGCACTACTTCTGCCTGGGGACCATGAGGGGAAAGTATATGGAAACATAAAGTGTTTATTCATCCGAAGGAGGAAAGCTATGTTTTCTGTATACTAACTCCAGCACGCCTTCCTCGGTAATTGCAGAGCAGGAGACACACAGTGAATAAAAGGTTATGCCGACTATGACTATCACATCTACGGTGCTGGTTCTATGCATCCTTCACCACCACTACCTGTCCTTAGGGACCATGATGGTACATACTATTGCAGATATAAAGCAACAAGTGCTTTTACCTTGATGAGGGCCATACATAGTTCATTCTTCAAGCACTAGCCTACTTGTCACCACCATGAGTGGAAACAAGTGAGAGTGAAGTAACAGAGGATATGTTTTTCTGACTTTTACTATTGGCCAAGTACATTTACACATACTCAGAATTGTACTTGGTGATATGATGCTGCTAGTGATAGACACATTTAGAGACAGACAACGGAGTTTAAACAACGTTTACATACATTATACACAACTAGGTAGAGTGAGTATAGCTATAACAGAATTAGCAAATATACAGTGTGTATACAGTTGATATACAGTGGATGTACAAATTAACAGTATCAGTATGAATATACACTGAGTATACAAAACATTAAAAACTTCCGCTCTTTCCATGACATAGACTGACCAGGTGAATCCAGGTGAACGCTACAGTATGATCCCTTATGGTTGTCACTTGTTAAATCCACTTCAATCAGTGTAGATGAAGGGGAGGAGACAGGTTAAAGAAGGATTTTTAAGCCTTGAGACAATTGAGACATGGATTGTGTATATGTACCATTCAGAGGTTGTTTTTATCGCACTGCTTTGCTTTATCTTGGCCAGGTCGCAGTTTTAAATTATAACTTGTTCTCAACTGGCTTACCTGGTTAAATAAAGGTGAAATTAAAAATAAATGGGCAAGAGAAAATATTTAAGTGCCTTTGAACAAGATATGGTAGTAGGTGCCAGGTGCACCGGTTTGTGTCAAGAACTGCAACGCTGCTGGGTTTTCACGCTCAACAGTTTCTCATGTACAATACTGTATATCAAGAATGGTCCACCACCCAAAGGACATCAAACCAACTTGACACAACTGTGGGAAGCATTGGATTCAACATGGGGAGATGGACAGAGATATGGACAGAGTGCAATGCAGTATAGTGGAGTTATTTTGTGTACAGTACAGGTCAGAGATGTCTTGATGCGGTGTGCAGCATAGAGTGCATAGTCCTTTAGTCTCTATGGACAGGATGGCCGGTTGATGAGGGCCACAGCCCGGGGAAGAAACTTTTCAGATGGCGGGAGGTTTTGGTCATGAGTAACCTGAACCACCTGCCAGAGGTTAATTTCTGGAGGAGGGGGTGACCGAGGTGGTCACCCCGAGCCGATGACCCTGTCTGCAGACCGGACAATGCATTGCAGTTTGCCCTTGCAGTGGGCAGACGCAGACCCAAACCAGACGGTGATGGAGGAGGTGACGATGGACTCAACGATTGATGCCTAAAACAGGATCAAGATTGAATGGGATATTTTTTGTTTTTTTAGTTGCGGCAAGTAGTACATCCACTGGTGTGCCTTATTGGTGACCGCTGTGACGTTGTCCTCCCACTTGAGGTTGTGGGAGATGATGGTCCCCAGGAATTTGAATGATTCAGCAATGCTAACAGCTGAGCCATCAATCTCGAGGGGGAGAGATGGTGGGGGGCATTTTCTGAAGTCAACTACCATTTCCACGGTTTTGTCTGTGTTGAGTTCCAGGTTAATGCGACTGCACCAGGCCTTTAGCCGGTCGACCTCTCCACGGTACATGGACTGATCGCCGTAGGTGATGAGACTGACCAGAGTGGTGTCATCTGTAAACTTGAGTAGTTTGACAGATGCGTTGTTGGAGGTGCAGTCATTGATGTAGAATGAGTAGATTAGCGGTGAGAGCACGCATCCTTGCAGCGCTCCGGTGCTGAGGGATAAAGAGTCCGAAAGGTGTTTTCCCAGCTTCACATGTTGCATCCTGTTGGTCAGGAAGTCAGGGATCCACTGACAGATGGAACTGGACACGTTCAGCTGGGAGAGTTTGTCTTGTAGCAGTTCTGGGTATTGAATGCAGAGCTAAAATCCACAAACAATATCCTTGCATATGTCTTTGGGTTATCGAGGTGTTTAAGGATGTAGTGTAGGCCCCTGTTAACAACGTCGTCCACAGACCTGTTAGCTCTGTAGGCAAACTGTAGTGGGTCAGACAGTGGGAGTGGTGAGTGAATACACAGTGAATACAGAGCTTCAGCTGGTCTTACCGTGATCCGAACGGTGACGGTAGCCTCACCGGGGGGCATGGTCCCTTCCTGGTCCACGGCCTCCACCTGGAAGGTATAGTTGGTCCCCATGCCCATACTAGCCAGGTCCTCAAAGTCCAGCGTCTGCAGGACCGACAGATCGCCTGAAATCGGGTTCACAGAGAAAAGCTTCCTGGCCTCCGCAGATTTGATACGGTACGTTACATTAGAGAACAGGTCTGCATCCACGGCCTGGGACAGAGGGAGAGAGAGGGATAAGCGAGAAAGAGAGAGAGAGAGAGTGAGAGAGAGAGAGAGAGAGAGAGGGAGAGGGAGCGAGATGAGAGATAGAGATAGAGAGAGCTAGATAGAGACAGATAGCATATAGATAAGCATCTATCTCATGCTACTCGTAGCTATCGCGCGCGCTCTACTCGCCGCTTCTCTCGTCTAGAGACGCGCTCTCTCTCTCTCTCTCTCTCTCTCGCTCTCTCTAGAGCCTTTCCCTCTAGAGAGGGCAGAGAGAGATGATTATAGAAATGCATGTACACAAACACACACACACACACACACACAAACACACAAAGACAGCAAAAAACCTGATTAGAAAAGATATCCAACCGACAACTGAAAATAAAAAGTAAATGCGATCTGTGGGAGTGAGAATCTTTCAGGTGGAAGGCTTTGATGTACAGATGTGACAGAAGTAACAATATACAACAATATAAAAAGATAAAATACATTTATAAATAAATAGAAAACAGAACACATACAATCCCTCCAGAGGAGAGAGGCGGGGATCAGAGATTCATCTGCCTGCGATGCTGTCTATCAATGGGCCTTCTTTACAGACAGGTGTCACTCCCACCACCAACCCCATCCCTGTCTGCTCCTGCTCTGGCTGAAGATGTTGTTCGTTTCTTGGGAGATTAGTGTTGTCACGGTTGCATGTGTCAGTCACTCATCCACTCCCCCCTCCCTTGCATTATTCCCTTGTGAGTTGAGTGATAATGTCACTCACAATATGCAGACAATTACTTCCCCTCTGCTCTGCCTTTGCTTTGGTGCTCGCTGGTGTATTCCCATGGTTCTCTTCCTCAGCACAAACAACACGTGGATATGCTTGACAGTAGGGCTGCACAATTAATCAAATTTTGATCGAAAGTGCAATTTCCATATCGCAAGAGGCTGCGATTATCTCTTTTATTTGACGCTCAATGAATACAACAAAAACTAGACTGCGGTCACTCCTCCAATTAGATGCGCTAGAATCCGTTCATTCACTTTCTACATGCACAGAAGATGCTGACCAATCACAAGCGGGCACTCTCACGCTCTGCATGGCATGCACATGCTTGCCAATCACAAGCGTCCCCGCTTAGAGCGCACAGTTAGATGCTGGTGAGGAGAGAAAGGGCTGAGTGCTGCTAGTGCTGCTAGTGCTAATGAAAAAACATCCTGCAGACACATAGACATCATCTATCTATCACATAGCTAAATACATGATTCCTATTTGCACAGTCAGCAAAGATGGCTTCAAGAAGATGATAAACAAGCTGGACAGGATATACAAGATTCCATCTCGCACATAATTCTCCCAAGTTGCTATCCCAGCACTGTATAACAAAATTATGGGAGAAGTTGAAACAGAGCTCACACATGTTGATTATTAAATGACTACAACAGACCTTTGGTAGTAAACCAACCGAGCCCTACATTCGTTTGACAGTACACTATATTGATGAGACGTTTCAACTGAAAGGTCGGTGCTTGCAAACATCATAGGCCCGAAGATCACACAGAGAAAACATTGCTCTGGGGTTGTGTGAAGTTTTAGCTGCCTGGGTCCTGAATGAGGTTCAGCAAGTAACGATAACGGTGCAAACGTAGTAAAGGCCATGGTGTTGAATGACTGGACCAGACTCCAATGCTTTGGACACAGACTGCACCTTGCAATCGGTAGGCTACGTGTTACATGTTTTTAAGGCACTTTGAATTATAATTGAAATGGCCTATGGATGCATTAATACATATTTAACTTAGGTCATTTAAGAACTCATAATGGTAAAATAGGAAATATGAACTCATAATGTTATGTAAGGGATAATCAACTATGGAAAATAATGAACGACGTGGAAGATGTGCGGAGTGGAACTGACCTTCCACGGAGTTGCATTATTTTCCAGAGAATGTATAGAGCCCCGATTTGATTATCCCTTTTATACCATGGCTATAATTTAACACGTTGGTGCTAGAAATGTGTTAATTTGCCGGTATAAATGTGTTCAACATCCACTAAAGTAGCTAACACGTTTACTAGATAACTACAGTAGTAACCATGGTAACTAACCAAATAGACTTGCTAGTTTAGCTAACAAACCATCACCACTAGCTTGCCATTATGAAAATCTAATTCAACAATGCCAATAATGTTTTCAATTCGACTTTTGCTTTCAAAAGCAGCACAAACATAGAACATGTAAGAATTAACTATAGCCATTGAATTCTACGGTACAAATATACCATGCATTATAGGGAAATAATGCAGATTCTAGAACGCCCTTCAAGCCAATCAGAAACAAGTATTCAACAATGCCATGGTATAATAATTAATTGCTGCGCTTATAGAACGCTATATTTTGATGATCATGTTAAAAATGAATGTTTGTTAATATGCAGGTGTAATAATCCTATATATAAGTATAACAAAATTGGTTTTGTATTCAGTTAGCACAGTATGTATTAATTCATATGATCTCATTTTAGAAGTGATGTTCTTTACCCTGACACATAGTTTTCACTCAAGTGTTTGAAAATCGCAATTCATAGTCGCAATATCTGTTTTGTCCAAATCGTGCAGCCTTACTTGCAGTGCCGAATCTACCTGAGACACCATCCATCAAGTTCCAAAGCGCTCAGGTTTTTCAAGCATTACATTATCGTTTGTCAAGAGAAGGATGCTTTTTTGTTTGTTTACCCCTTCAGCTTGATTCTGAGCATTAATGAGGAACTGGCTTTAGTCTTACTCCATTTGATACCTAAGACACCCAGAGAGTTCTCACAGACCAGACTCCTCAGATAGTAAAATATAAGTGTTTTGCCCTCCGTTGCGCATGTGAAACACTAAAGAGCCTGGAAGCTTATGGCAGTTGAAATGGAGGCCAAATCACCTGATAGCTGGAGACACTTTGAAGTTAAAGGATGTTAAAGGGTGCATTTAATAGTCAAGCTGTTTGAAGCCCTTACTGCTCTGTGCAAGGCCTGGCAGAGAGAAGGACAGAAACCACAGATCCCCTCCCCCACATCCACACTTACACAGTCTCAGAACCACAATGCTCACTGATCACACACATACTCAGTGTAGTTGTAGGACACACATGAAGGCACATGCACACGCACACGCACACACAAACAAACACACACACACACACACACACTTACACTGAGGCGCAGCACCACGGTACCAACAGGGCTGTTCTCTGGGACATTGACCACGTAGGTCTTCTGGGAGAACTCTGGGCTGTTGTCATCGATGTCTGTCACCTGGACAGAGAGGGTGAAGGTGGTCCTGCGGGGGTCCACCGCCCCATCTGAGGCCTCCACTATAAGGTCATACTGACTTCTGAGCTCCCGGTCCAGAGGCACCACGGTGAAGATGCTGCCATTCTTGGTGATGTTGAAAAGACCTGGGTGGTTGACTATCTTGTAGCGCACCAGGCCATTAGCCCCTGCATCTGGATCTGTGGCCTGCATTGGAGGAGGAAAACATAGTAGATTCAATATGTGGAGTGAGGAAGGGAAACAGGCAAATATGCATGGAAATACTTAAGCAGTAAGGTACAAGGGATTGTGCTCTATCATAAATATAGTCACAGTTAAAAACTCACACACACATACACTTAAAAATGTGCACTGTACACTTAAAATTACTAAGCTGACACGGTTCTCATAAATTCAAACCCAGTGTTAATTTCAGTCTCATTTTCTCTTCACATTGAGATTAGTGTCTTTGTCACAGACTCATGACTAATCATCAGCAAGTTCAAAAGGCCAGAAGCCTCTCCTTTAAAGTCTGATTTTCATCAAAGGGAATTCCTTGAATGCTAAATCAAGTTCCAGAAACATACACTTCATTCTTTATTCAGCAAAAAAGAAGGAAAGGACGAAAAACCCAGAACAGGGTAAATTTTGAGGATCCTTCAGGGTAGACAGAAAGTTAGTTGCTTAACAAATTATAAATCCCTCATGAATATGCCAGCTCATGAGTATGCCAGCATTTGTGAATGTGTGCTAGCTTGTGTGTGAGTGTGTGCTAGCCTGGTGTGTGTGTGTGTGTGAACCTGACAGCATGGTTTTTGTGTGTAAAGAGCAGGCACTAATTCCTTTCTGTTGTAATCATGGTAACAGGGAAAGAGAGAGAGGGAGAGAGAGAGAGGAGAGGAGAGAGAGAGAGAGAAGAGAGAGAGAGAGAGCTATATAGATATATAGAGAGGGTCGATCGAGATAGATCGATAGAGCTCGGAGCTCGGCTCATTCCACTAGAGTCTCTGGGGTAGCGCTAGCGAGCAAGATAGAGAGAGAGAGAGAGGCGGGGAAGGCTTTGAAATCTGGCCACACTTCCCCTGCCCCTGTTCGATTCAAGCCTGACTGAGTTCTTGACCTCGGCTATGGAAGGACAGAGTAGCACAGAGAGAATCAAATAAAAAAAGGGAAATTTTTAAAGGGAGAGGGCTAAGATGGAGTCCATGTTGTATTACACAGAAAGCCAGATAGATGCTCAAAGCCTAGGCTAAAGATTGAGCCCTGGCGTTAAGCCTTTAGAAAACAGAAGAACAAAATAATCAATTGAAATGTGCAAACATTACTCTGCAGTGAGTTGACATCATTATGCACCTTACGGCTCACAGGCTTCATTTCTTTAATACATACTAAATGTATCAATTAATAATTAGGAATATTTAACAGCCTCCCATGGACTAAAAACAAACACAAACTCACTTTAGCATCGCAGGGTTGGTTTTCTATGCAGTTAAGGAAACCGAGCATTCATTGTCTCTCAGATCCATTAAAAGTTAATTAGGCTGCGTTTACACAGGCAGTCCAATTCTGATATTTTACCAAATTATTGGCAAAAGAGCTGATCTGATTTGTCAAAACACCAATTAGTGAAAAAATATCAGAATTGGGCTGCCTTAGACCTGCCACATGAAAAAACTGGAAACGTCACTTTTGTGTATGCTAGGTGAGTGTGGATATGTATAGAATCTAGAATGCAGAATCTACACTATGTGGATGCATCAATACCTTTTGGTTAATACCTGACACAAAAAGGTAGGCCCACATACAGTATTCATGCTTGTGAATGACAAAGAAACTAACAAAGTAATTATCATCACATTATTATGTAATTACCATTTCAGCATGACATTTGTAGGTAACAAGCAGGTAAATAACATATTGTAAATTAAAGTGGAACCTTGAAGGGTATGATGCAGCTTACAACTCATAAGAAAACGGGTGTCATATTATTGAGGTTGATGGTTTCATCAAGAAAAGCGGGGGAGAGATGTCATAATCCAGTTATCAAACGATACCATGTTCAACTGCCTCTTCAATTAGCTACATCGCTACAGCTTTTATGGTTTAGCTGACGTGAATGCTAATTGATTTGTCATCGTCATGTGCGTGCCCAGATTACAACTCCCTCCCTGGGAGGAATGTATGGGTGTGTATGCTCATTATGCAAATGCTTACATAAACACAAAAGGTTTACCTGTCAACAGTCTGGGACATTGGAATATTGGAAGAGGTACGATGCAGTTCTAATAAAGACATAATGATAAACTAGATTAAGCCACTGCATTGTTGATTACTCATTTCTGATTGACTTGAAGGGGATTCTAGAGTGTGTGTTTTTTCTCAGTAATGCATGTCAATAACTAACAGCTATGAAGTTGTTCCAACAAAAACATTCCAGTCATTAGTCCTATTTGCCTGGTTGCTAGACAAACACATTGGTTGCTAAATCTACTCATTTCTAATTGACTTGAAGGGCATTCTAGAGTGTGCATTATTTCACAGAGGGCACTGTAAAATTCAGATCGTTTAAGTATCTTAATGCTAACCCTAAGGCGTGTAAGGCAGGGGTCTTCAAACGGGGATCCGAGAAAATATCTCTTAAAAATAAAAGTGGATTTTATTAATTTCACTAGCAACAACAGAATAAACAAATGTTGACATAGGCTAAGAAAAAGCACCCGCGGTTAACTTACCTGTCATCGCAAGCGCTGCTGGCAGCTGGTAAGCTTTCTTGACTTGGGCATTCATTTTTCCCAACACATGTTAACCTTTTGTCACGACTTCCTCCGAAGCTGCCTCCACTCCTTGTTTGGGCAGGCTTCGGCGTTCGTCGTCACTGGCCTTCTAGCCACTGCCGCTCCTCATCTCATCATTCCATTTGTTTTGTCTAGTTTTTACACACACCTTCATATCCCCTCATCAGTACCTGTATAAGTATTCCCTCTGCCCCCCATGTCTTTGTGTGTGATTGTTTATTGTGGAGGTGACGATAGCTCGGTGGAGCTTTATACATTTGTATCGCCGGAATATTCACCTGTGTGCTTTGTTTTCTCCAGTGCACCGTTTTACTGCACTGTAGTGTTTTACGCATTGCTGCATACCGCTGTATTTGCCGAATAAACCATTTATTCAGTGATTTACCCTCCTACGCCTGACTTCGTCCAAATCACCCGTTACAGAATCACACACCCAACAGCATTGAGTCAGCAGGAGCAGGGAATATGCCTGGAGTCGTGGAGCGGGTCCGGGAGCATTCCAACATGTTAGCCAGCTTGGGCGAAGCGATGGATTGGGTTCTCCAGGTCGTCCAGCGCCTGGAGAGGAGAGGACCCGACCCTTCGGAACCAGCTGAGCGACCGGATCCAGCCACCCACACCCCAGCACCCAGTGGTATTCATCTATCTCGACCGAGGGAATACGACGGGACAGCGGCCCGCTGCCAGGGTTTCCTCCTGCAGCTGGACCTCTACTTTTCCACCATCAGCCCAGCTCCATCGGAGCAGGAGAACGTGTCCGCCCTCGTCTCGTGCCTCTCGGGGAAAGCCCTGGAGTGGGCCAACGCGGTCTGGAGTGAAGGAGGAGACGCGTTGGACAACTACAGGGCATTCGTCTTGTCCATCTGAGGCAGGGGACGAGGACAGCGCAAGACTTTGCCCTGGAGTTTAGTACTCTAGCGGCTGGGTCCGGGTGGAACGAGCGGGCCCTCATCGATCACTTCCGATGCAGCCTGCGTGAGGATGTCCGAAGGGAGCTAGCCTGCCGGGATACCACGTTGACTTTCAACCAACTGGTGGACATGGCCATCCGGTTGGAAAACCTGCTGGCAGCGAGAGGACGTCCTGGAAGGGGCCTGCCCGTTTCACCCCCCTTCAACCCCATCACGTTCCAATGGAGCTGGGTGGTGCAGCAATCCGGGAGAACGGAGGACGACATATCCAGTGTCACTCTTGTGGCAAGTGAGGACATTCTGCTGCACGCTGTCGTCAGAGTTCTTCTGGGTCTGGAGGCGGCAGGCAGGGCACTCTCGCGTCACCCCAGGTAGCGCAAACCCACACTCGTTCAGAGCCCTCTGCTGCGCACTTCACCAAAATGCAGGTGGCCAAATTACCACCCCATCGTGCGGGGGATTGCGCGATAAACCTCCGGTTAGACGCTGTGCCGCCCAGGAGTCATGTATATCCCCTGTCACAGGCTGAAATGGAGGCTATGGAGACATACATCTCCGAGTCCCTGCGCGAGGGGTTCATACGTCCCTCCACTTCACCCACCTCCTCAAGTTTTTTTTTTGTGAAGAAGAAAGACGGAGGTCTGCACCCTTGCATTGATTACTGTGCACTTAATCAAAACTACCATTCGCTATAGTTACCCTCTACCCCTCATCTCCTCTGTTATCGAATCAAAGCACGAAATTAGATCTCAGGAGTGCGTACCACTTGGTGCATGTCCGGGAAGGGGACGAGTGGAAGACAGCATTTAGCACAACCACGGGGCATTATGAATACCTGGTGATGCCGTATGGGTTGATGAATGCTCCATCAGTCTTCGAGTGCTTTGTGAACGAGGTGTTTTGGGACATGCTTGGTCGTGGTGTGGTGGTCTACATCGATGACATTCTGGTGTATTCCGCTACGCACACCGAGCATGTGTCCCTGGTTCGCAGAGTGCTGGGCCGACTGTTGGAGCGTGACCTATATACCAAGGCAGAAAAGTGTCTGTTCTTCCATCAGTCCGTCTCCTTCCTCAGATACCACATCACCACCTCAGGTGTGGAGATGGAGGGAGACCGCATTTCAGCCATGCAAAATTGGCAGACTCCAACCACGGTAAAGGAGGTGCAGCACTTTATTGGCTTTGCCAATTACTATCGGAGGTTTCTCCGGGGCTTTGGCAAGGTTGCAGCACCCATCACCTCTCTGTTGAAGGGTGGGTCGTCCCGGCTCTGCTGGTCTGCTGAGGCTGACACGGCTTTCCGTAACCTGAAGGCTCTGTTCACCTCAGCCCCAGTACTGGCCCATCCCGATCCATCATTGCAGTTCGTAGTGGAGGTGGATGCATCCGAGGTAGGGGTAGGCACTGTCCTATCCCAATGCTCGGGCACGCCACCCAAAATCCGCCCCTGTGCCTTCTTCTCTAAGAAGCTCAGACCGGCGGAGCAGAACTATGACATTGGTGATCGGGAGCTGTTGGCTGTTGTCAGAGCCCTGACCACGTGGAGGCACTGGCTCGAGGGGGCTAAGCACCCTTTCCTTGTCTGGACTGACCACCGTAACCTGGAGTACATCCGGGCAGCGAGGAGGCTGAACCCTCGCCAGGCCAGGTGGGCCTTGTTCTTTACCCGGTTTTATTTCACGCTGTCCTACCTACCAGGCACAAAGAATGTGAAGGCAGACACACTGTCACGGCTGTACAACACAGAGGAGAGGCCCATAGACAACACCCCCATACTCCTGGCCTCCTGCATTGTGGCGCCGGTAGTGTGGGCGGTGGACGTGGACATAGAGCAGGCGTTACGCACAGAGCCATCTCCACCTCAGTGCCCAGCTGGGCTGCGGTACGTGCCGTCTATTGTCCGTGATCGTCTTATATATTGGGCACACACGTCCTCCTCCTCTGGTCACCCAGGCATCGGCCGGGAAGTACTGGTGGCCTACCTTGGCTAAGGACGTGAGGGTGTATGTCTCCTCCTGCTCGGTGTGCCCCAGAGTAAGGCACCTAGGCACCTTCCAGTGGGTAAGTTACATCCCTTACCAGTTCCACAATGGCCATGGTACCACTTATCAATTGACTTCCTAACTGATCTTCCCCTCTCTCAGGGTACTACCATCCTGGTCGTTGTGGACTACTTTTCTAAAGCCTGCCGTCTCCTTCCTCGGCCCGGTCTCCCCACAGCACTGCAAACTGCGGAGCCCTGTTTACTCACGTCTTCCGGCACTACGGGGTGCCAGAGGACATAGTGTCTGACCGGGGTCCCCAGTTTACGTCCAGGGTCTGGAAGGCGTTCATGGAATGTCTGAGGGTCTTGGTCAGCCTGACCTCTGGGTTTCACCCCGAATCTAATGGGCAGGTGGAACGTTGAATCAGGATGTGGGTAGGTTCCTGCAGTCCTACTGCCAGGACCGGCCGGGGGAGTGGTCGGTGTTCTTGCCATGGGCCGAATATGCCCAGAACTCTCTCCGCCACTCCTCCACTAACCTATCTCAATTTCAATGTGTTTTAGGGTATCAGCCGGTCCTGGCAAAGTCCTGAGGAGAGTAAACAAGGTTATGTATAGGTTACTACTCCCTCCTGATTACTGTATTAACCCCTCGTTTCACGTGTCTCTCCTCAGGCCGGTGGTGGCTGGTCCGCTACAGGAGTCTGAGGTGCGTGAGGTCCCTCCGCCCCCTCTGGACATCGAAGGGGCCCCGGCATACTCTGTCCGTTCCATCCTGGATTCGAGGCGTCGGGTGTGGGGCCTTCAGTACCTCGTGGAGTGGGAGGGGTACGGTCCGGAGGAGCGGTGCTGGGTCCCAGTGAGGGATGTCCTCGATCCCTCCCTGTTGCGGGATTTCCACCGTCGCCATCCGGCTCGCCCTGCTCCGGGTCCTCCTGGCCGTCCCCGAGGCCGGTGTCGGCGCACTGCTTGAGCTGCGCATCAAGGGGGGTGTACTGTCACGACTTCCTCCGAAGTGCCTTCTCTCCTTGTTCGGGCAGGCTTCGGCGTTCATCGTCACCGGCCTTCTAGCCACTGCCGCTCCGCATCTCATCATTCCATTTGACACACCTGGTTCATATCCCCCTCATCAGTATCTGTATAAGTATTCCCTCTGCCCCCCCATGTCTTTGTGTGTGATTGTTTATTGTGGAGGTGATGATAGCTCGGTAGACGCACATTGCTCCCAAAATAGAACCCCAAGTGGCTGGAGAAAATGAAAATGAGGTTGAAAAGTGGTGGAATTTGTGCTTTAGCTCTTTATGTGCTATAACTTATCAGAGCACAGCCCAAACCAAAGTTCTGACGTTACTAATAATTTTGATCCCAACTAAAAAAATGTTTGTTGATCTTTCATCAAAGCATTGTATTCCAGTCAATTAGAGCATTTCCCTAAGTCCTCCTAATCAAGGCAAGACATGGAGGTAACAAAACAAATGCTGCGCCGCGGTCCTCCCATCGCGCCGCCACACACCACACACGCTCACACAAAAAGTCTGGATGTATTATTCTCTGATTATTTATCTGACAAAGCCCCAGCCCAATTAATCTAAAACAGTAATTAGAAAAACCTTGCTGCCTGACGGAGCTGAACTGAACCAGTCATAAGGGACGTCACCTTGGGTGAAAGATCAGCCAATCATGTTGAAGTTATCACCACATACGTTGCTGTGGACACTTGTGGAACTTTGGGAGTAGCTGGGGTCGGTGAAGCTATAAAAATACCTGCTCAGTAAAGACGTTCCAGGTATGGATGTGGAAAGAAGGGAAATACCAGGAAATGGCAGGTGAAAGCAATATTATTTTTTTCTTCGTATTCACACTCAAGGTGAACTCTAACAACATACTACTACACTGTGTGCATCTTTAACCCATTAGAAGTGCTTACCGTGACTTGCCCCACAAACACGTTGGCTTTCTCCTCCTGGACAGTGAGGTTCCTGGGCAGGGTCAGGTCAAACGTAGGGTCGTTATCGTTTACGTCAGTCACCACTATGTTCACTGTGGTGGTGGAGGTCTGGAAACAAAGACAGAGAGAAAAGAACAAGTTGATTGTGTGTGTGTGTGTGTATGTGTTCGTGTACAAGCAGACAGACATACTGTATTTGTGGTAGAATGGAAAGCTTTGAGAGAAATCAAAACTAAATTCAAAGACATTCTGTATGATGATACAGTGTAAATAATTGAATGACAATTTGCCAAATAAAAGCTAAAGCCACAGAGAATCAGAAATATTTTCTAAAAAATTGGGAAATTAATTTATCTGAAGCAGACTTACAGAACAGCCTCTGTGATGACTAGGTAAAGACAGATACACTCTACTAATTCAAAAAGAATGTAATGAAGTCAATGCTGAGACACTACGTCAAATAGTTACTGAAGCTAATTCACACAGACTTCATCTTCACGGAGAATGCAGAGAATACAATATGGTCGCATGACCAAATACAACTATTACTAAGGCAACTAAGGCTGTTAGCATACCTACAGTATCTTTGTGGATATACTGTACAGTGTGCAATTATTATCACATAATATGAATTGCCTTGATTTGGCTTTATCCTTGGCACTCCAAGTGAACTGTTGTGATTGAAAGGGACCCAGCATCCAAAAGACTATCATCAGTTGTTGACTGATACTGTAGGACAGGGTTTCCTAAACTCTGAAGGGACATGGCAGTCCCTTCAATAGAGGAGGAGGATCCTCTGTATCCCATTGCAGTAATAATATACAATTTTGGAAGTCACAGTGTACCAATATAGTGCAGTTAACCTTCAAACAATGACACCAGTATACAACCCTCCAAGGCCCTCGTATAAATCACTGGGAAAGATAGCTGAATAGGCACAACATCTATAATCCCATCGTGCATTGAGGCAATGCTGTGCTTACACAATGGTGCAAAATGGCCTCATTGGGGAGGAAAGGAAAGGATACAATGGTAGACAAATAATTCCCGGGAGGTAGGCATCATCCTCGCCTCATAAGGCATTTCAGGCGTAGGAAAGGAGAGAAGTGACCTGGTTAATGTCACCTTCATTTCTACATAGTGTACAGGGAACATCTTTGATAGTGTTTCCTCTTTTTCTTTTGAAACCCATAATCACCTCTTTTCTCAAAGATTGGCCAAATACAGCTACAGCACCCCCCTGTACAATATCACATGCCAGCCCATCTCTCTCTGTGAGAGGTCGAAGCTTTACAACATCATAACATGTCATCTCTCTGTGAGAGGTCGAAGCTTTACAACATCATAACATGTCATCTCTCTCAGAGGTCGAAGCTTTATAACATCATAACATGTCATCTCTCTCAGAGGTCGAAGCTTTATAACATCATAACATGTCATCTTTCTCAGAGGTCAAAGCTTTATAACATCATAACATGTCATCTCTCTCAGAGGTTGAAGCTTTATAACATCATAACATGTCATCGCTCTCTGAGAGGTTGAAGCTTTATAACATCATAACATGTCATCGCTCTCTGAGAGGTTGCGTTTCTAGACAAAAGAGAACGGAAGAAAAGAATAGCTACATCCAATGTAGGGCCTCCTTTCTTCCTTCACATTTCATGACAGCGCAGACACTAACCCTTCTATGATGGACCTCTCATCTCCCAGCTCCTGAAGGCTAATTAGGTGTGGGTCTTGCTTGGGCGTGCATTATCAAAGCCCAGCATCTCCCTGCTAAAGCTCTTTAGGGCTGGATGTGGCCATCAGTCGTATTAATGAGCTCCTTTTATTTATTTACTAGAGGAAATGCATGTCTGTGATCTCCCCTCTCTGTCACCACAGTCCCTACGACATGGCCAGGGTGCCAATGGTACAGCATTTAAAGTGACAACATGGTTGGAGCTTGTGTGTGTGGCTGTGGTGAGGTTTGATGATCTGTGTAGGCTGTCACTGTCACCTCATCTAAGGGTTAAGTACAGTGGGTTATCTACCAACAGTAGTTCGTCTCTATGGGTGATGGGTTAGTTCTTTAGCCAACTTGGAAACATAATATTATACTAGCCTGCAGGCTATTCATTTGGGGATATTTGATTTCTGAGAACTAATGAAAAGCTGATCATTAATTGGATACTGAACATTATTTTCACATGGGGATCGTTTCAATTCATGAATTCAATTTCCATTAATTTCCTGCATTGATGGAGTCAAAACTGACCTCAATAGTCGGTGATCTGACCTCAACAGTCAGTGTCTGCTAGCAACATTTGAGTTGGACATGTAGCTACATGTACTGTAATGTTGGGGCACATTGACGGAGGTGTGGTGCTGTGTGTGTAATGGTGTGTCCTTGCCTGCAGATGAGGTTGGAGATTTGACTGTTTGAGTGGAGGGGAATCGGGAGGGGGGTCCTACCATACATGCTGTAAAGAGATCAATGGAACGCAGACCGTGGAGGATAGAAAAAGGTGCCGGATTGGCACGCATTCAACTACCCTGATCTAACAAAGTGGATATTCGTCAAATCTGTCAGGATTTATGTATTGTAACAAGCCCACAATGTGGTTACTTAAGTCTGATTTGGATATATTTGGCTTTTTTCGCTGCATAACATGTAGAAGTTGTCCATTTTCAGGTTTAGAATAAGTGACTGCTAAATGCTAACTCCTGTTCGTATAAGCTGGTTGAATAGAATGATTCCACTCGTTCGCAAAGAGGCAGGCGTGATAAGATGTCACGATCGTCAGGGAGAGAAGTAGACCAATGCGCAGCGTGTTGAACGAACATTGTATATTTATTATCTTCAGTGATAATGTATACAACAAACAAAACAACAAACGACTCGTAACGTCCTTGGTAACAATGACCAACACGGAACAAAACCCACAAACCCAAAGGGAAAACATACAGTTTAAATATGGCTCCCAATCAGAGACAACCAGCCAACAGCTGACACTCGTTGCCTCTGATTGGGAGTCACTCAGGCAAAACATAGCAATAGACGAACTAGAACCCCCAACATAGAAACACACCACATAGAACAAACACACCCTGGCTCAACAACTAGAGTCCCATAGCCAGGGTGTGACATAAGAACTCAGTAATCAAGAATATAAGCGGTCTGAGCTTTGATCAACGCTGGGGACGCAATAATAAGTGGGTAAAAGCTATTTCACAAATAAAAAGGTGTGTAAATGTGTAAGTTGCTCTGGATAAGAGTGTCTGCTAAATGACTTAAATGTAAATGTAAATGTAAATGGCGTTTACACTCCACTACATCCCTGATTATATTTCAATGGTTGGTCACCCAAGGTTTGCCAGTGCTGTGATAAGATAGTGTAAAATAATGAATTTGAAGAATTTATCTGTACTGTATGTTTGTTAGCTTGCCAGCCAGATATATTTAGAGGAATGATTCCATACATTTTCCAAATTAACTGCCAATATGCCAACATTCCATTCAAACAATGCAGTCAATCAACAGCCATACAATGGCTGAAATCAGTTGATGATAGGACTTAGACAAGTTGTAAATGCAACAAGTACAGCTTTCCAAGAAAACACAGACATACATTTATAGTCTATTTACATATATTTTAGAGGCTATTTATACAGAAAATGTGTATAAAACCCATGTAAATTGTATTTATAATTATATTACAATATTTCAGGTTGACATTCATTCTATTATTCAATTTCTGATATATCACATGCCGTACGTTAATTTCCTGTCACGCCCTGGCTCTGGGGACTCTTATATGTTGAGCCAGGGTGTGGATTTTCTATGTGTAATTTTCTATGTTTTGTTCTAGTTCGTGTTTTCTATGTTGGCCAGGGTGGTTCCCAATCAGAGGCAGCTGATTCTTGTTGTCTCTGATTGGGGACCATACTTAGGCAGCTTGTTTGGCACTGTTGTTTGTGGGATCTTGTTCTGTAAGGTTTGTTTTGCTGTTTAACCTAGGACTTCACGTATCGTTTGTTGTTTTGTGTTGATCGTGTGTTTAGTACGTTAATTGAATAAAGTATGTACGCATATCACGCTGCGTCTTGGTCCGCTTCATCTAACGAAGATCGTGACATTTCCTGCATACGTAAAATGAGGATTGTGCCTCTACTGCCATTCATTCCAATTAGACTGGTTTGGATTTCTCCCTGATCAATATGGCTGCCATTTTCACCCCATTCTGGAACTTTGAGGGTTTATGGGTCTCTCTCTCTCTCTCTCTCGTCAATTGCACACAATCTCTCCCACTCTGTCAATTGCATACAATCTCTACCACTCTATACATTTAACACCTTCATCTCCAACTCAACTGTATCTCAGTCTATTAGACCTCTTCTTGTATTTCTCGCAGCCTGTCCACCCCTCTCTTTCCATTGTGACAACACCTCCTGATGGGCTGCAGGGTCAGACAGTAATTTTCCAGTTCCCATGGGGACTCCATCATAACAGACACATGCAAGAACACAGACACACACACACAGACACGTTTGCAGGTCCACATACACACATGCACACGCACGCACACACACACACCACAAACACACCTGAGGGATTGAGGAACTGATTTTACACTGAGGTCAGTGCACGTATGGAGCCCTGGTGAGAGTGAGGATTGTAGTTCAGGGTCCTTACAATCAATGTTCCCTCTAATATTTTTTGCACTGAGCAAATTTCAGGTCTGCTGAGTGCAAAATTGAACGTTGTGAAAATTCTGTGCAACTTCCAGCGCGCGTTTACTGTGAACACTGAGGCTGTACCCGCTTTTAGTTACAGTTTTAACAGTGGCCAAGTAGGCTACTGTGGCTATTTGATCATAATGTTGGCCTACCAGAGTGGCCTACCATCAAAAATAATGGATAAAATGCATCCCATAATATTTTAACATGGAAATAGCTGTTCAATGTAGGCCTACATTCCATGAAACATTAACCTGTTTATCCACCTGTCGTTCAGACAAGCAGGTGACAGAATTTTTTTTTGTGTTGTT